AAATGTACTTAAGTACAGTAACGAAGTACTTTTTTACTTTTACTTAAGTACATTTTTTGAGTACTTTCTCTACCACTGGTGTGTGGTTACCTCCAGGCCGCCCGGGATTAGGGTGGGCGGGGCAGCAGGAGGAGCAGCAGGAGGAGCAGCAGGAGGAGCAGCAGGAGGAGCAGCAGGAGGCGCCGTTAAAGGAGAAACAGCCATCTGGTTTACAGCGTCGTCGTTTCTAGAGACATAGAAGAAGAAAGTGAAATCAAACAGCTGCTGGTGTTTCTGCAGAAGAAGAAGAAGATGATGTTACGGAGCCACAACAGAACCTCATCATCGTCACTTGACTAGGCCGACCAATCAGGACGTTGCAGGCCGTTTCTGGGCGGGTCTTATTGATGATAAGGACTGAGACCGTTTTCTGGTTCAACGTTAAACAGCAGTTCCTCCTCCTCACCAGCAGGGGCCAGAACCAGAACCAGAACACTACATACTGGGACGTCAGAACCTGCTGATATTCTCAGCCTCCAGGTCCAAACAGAACCACTCAGAACCGCGTTCTGGGTCAAACATTGTGGTGCTGAAGTTGGTGTCTGCTTCAGAGGCTAAAGGGATATTTCACTGTTTTTAAACGGATCAGAACCTGAACAGAACTTTATTCTGACCTGGTTCCATCATGTTGGATCTGGTTCCTCTCAGCTCCGCTGCTGGTTCTGACCGGATGTTTGGGCCCAGGAAGGTTGTTGCCACGGCGATGCTGGCCATTCAGCCATCACCGAGGCAACCTTTACCCAACATGCACCACACAGCGGCAATCCGACCAGGTCACAGAATCGGACCCGGTCCAGATTTAATCCAGGTTAAAGACGGCAGATGCGATATGGGAGCTGTGTTTACACCTGATGGCTTTTCAGGAACAGAAACCAATATTCAGGTTTTCCCAGCATGCCTTGCAGTCCTACCTGAGCAGGATGAGCTTCACCTTGGCGGCGGCGGTCTTAATGATGGCCGACGCGTTCTGGTGGCTCCGCCCATACAGGATCTGGTTGTTGATCTGATGGGCAAACAGGTAATTGACCTAGTTAATCAAACCGGTCCAAACGGGTCAGTCAGGGTGAGGCAGAATCCATTGGTTGGCGCCTCCTCACCTCCAGCAGCTCGTCTCCCACGCGGATCCGTCCGTCTCTGGAGGCCGGCCCACCGGGATGGAGCCCCACCACGAAGATACTGAGTCGGGACCGGTCCCGGTTTCCCGCCAGGCTGAGACCCAAACCCTGCTGGTCCTTCTCCAGGTCCACGCATAGCAGCTCCCCCTGCAGGTCGCCATAACGCTCACAGCAGCGCTCTGCAGCGGACACAGCAGGAGAATGCTTCAGTCACCCGGGCTGCTGGTGGAACCAGCACCGAGGTCCAGAAGGGTCCAGTCCAATCCTCGCTGCGTCCCGCAGGCAGACGGAGCTGAAGGACTGCTGAGATTCCTGATCCGTTTGCTGCTGGAGGACAGCTGAGCACTGCTCACTCCGAGTCAATCAATCAATAATGGTGATGAGTCGTCATACTAACTGAACTGAGCAGCTTCATCAGGCAGAAACAAACCAGTTTCTCTCTCACACACACACACACACACACACACACACACACACACGTTTTTGTCTGGCTATCTTTGTGGGGACTTTCCATTGACTTCCATTCATTTCTACAGCCTAAACCTGACCTTTACCCTTTTCCTAACCCTAACCAACCAAAACTCAATTCATACCTTAGTCCTAACTCTGACCCCTGACCCGACAACAGAGTTTCCCCTTGTGGGGACCAGGCTCCGGTCCCCACAAGGAGCAATTGGTCCTCACAATGTAGTATATGTCAGGAAAATCGTCCCCACAAGGTATTACAAACAAATGCGCGCGCACACACACACACACACACACACACACACACACACACACACGTTTGCATGGCTTGTCTTTGTTGGGACTTTCCATTGACTTCCATTCATTTCTACAGCCTAACTCTAACCAAAACTTAATTAACACTTTAGTCCTAAATCTGACCCCTGACCCAAAAACAGTGCAAGTCTCTATAAAATTTACATTGCCCCCACAACATAAATTTTAATGAGTTAATTTTTACTTTTATTTGGTTAACATTTTACAAGCTTTATGTATATTTAATTAAAATATTACTTGAGTGCATTATTTTTGTACCTCTGGTTGTTAAACTTTATAAAAGGTGATTTGTCAGCAGGACTGAATGTTAAATCATCAAATCATGAAACAAAGTCAAGAGTTAGCTCATTACATAGCAGAACATAACGTCATTATTGGATTTCCATATAGCATTCACTTTCATAGTCGTACAGCTTCAGTAAAAGCTCAGTTACCAAGTTAGTCTTGAAGCTAAATACTTAGCTTGAATCTAATTAGCAGGTAAGTGTTCATTCAGCTAAAGCTAAAGCTAAACATTCAGCTAAAGCTAAAGCTAAACATTCAGCTAAAGCTGCTAATTAAACGGGAAAATGACAGAAACATCCCCAGTAAAAAATTATTGCTTTTCATTTTTGATTTTCCAAACGGCAGTCCGTATTCATCGAGTTGGAGACGACACCACCGTCCGCAAACAGAAATGGATCCACCAGAACTGGACCAGAACAGGTCGCTTCAGATGGACAGGTCAGAACCTGGTGGAGGTGGTATCATGCTGTGGGAAATAATGTCTTGGCTCGCTTTGGACCCATTGGAACCACCTGAGCTTCATCTGAGCCCGGTTACCACCTTAATGGTTCCTGCAACAGAATCTCTGGGGAATGGTTCTGAATGGATCTGGACCCAGAAGAACTCAGGTGGTTCTGGAGGTGAAACGGGCTCCAGCTACAAGCTGTACCTAATAAAGTGCCCAGCTGTGAATCTGCAGAGAAAGCATCTTTAGCTTTCTGAACTCATGGATCCGATTTAGTCTTCCTCACGATGCATCAGAATGTTCTGGAGCGGTTCTGCTGCAGCGACCCGGTTCTGCTCTGAAGTTCTCCAGCAGCAGCTAACAGATCCACTCTCCTCCTGCAGCAGAACCGATCTGCTGCAGCTAATCAGCAGCAGCAAGCAGGGATACGGCAGCGTCCCGACCCGGTTCTGCTGCAGCAGCAGGAAAGGTGACCTCTCACACAGAAAGCACCAGAACAGAGAGAGAGACGGAGAGAGAGAGACGGAGAGAGAGAGACGGAGAGAGAGAGAGAGACGGAGAGAGAGAGTGCTCACTAACCCGGTGGCAGCATCGTCCATGCTCCAGTCCTCACACTCCGACATAAATCCACGGGGGGAGAGACAGTGAGTGAGTGTGTGTCAGAGTGTGTGTCAGAGTGTGTGTCAGAGTGTGTGTCAGAGTGTGTGGAGCAGAACTAACGTCTGGTCTCCTCGTCGGGTCGGCTGCAACACGCAGATCACCAGAAAACGATCCGTTAGTGTGAGTCAGCTGAGCTGCTGTGGAGGAGAGCAGCTCTGCATCACCCGCCCCTCCCCCCTCCTCCCCCACTCCTCCTCCCTCCTCTTCCTCCCCTCCTCCCTCCTCTTCCTCCCCCTCCTGCCTCCTCTCCCCCCACTCCTCCTCCTCCTCTTCCCCCACTCCTCCCCTGCCCCTCCCCCTGCTGATCCAGGGATTCTTTCTGACTTTAATACCTTCAATCCTCTGGTCCAAAAACCAGACCAGAACCAGGACTTCCCTCACCAACCGGGTCAGAAACCCGTCTGGACCCAGTCTTCTGTCTGTGCCTAAATGAATCTGAAGACGCATCAAATTTAATCTGAACTTTATTAAGTTTTAGATCCAATTCTCAGAAACGGACAAACAGAAACCATTCAGAACCAAAGCGGGTCAGGAAATCAGGTTCTGACCCGTTTATTAGATTTAAAATGTAGAATCAGTTCAAATGGAGCATCAGTGGAAGCAAGTAGGAAGAACCTTGATGAAGTTCAGCAGACAGAAGAAATCAATCCCAGAGGGAAGCATCAGATTCCAGCAGAAAACCAGCAAGGAGACCAACTGTTCCCAGTAAAACCAGCAGCCAATCAGCTGCTTGCATCAAAACAATCTCAATCAGCAGCCAGAAAACCCCACAGCACCCCACCCGGCTCAAACACCCCGAATCGAAACCAAGCGCACCAAGACTGGAGCACAGACAGCAGGAAAAGCGAAAAGACTCGACTAGCAGAAACGTCGACTCTGAACGACGACTAGGGACCGACGGAAGGACCGACTAGGGACCGCTGGCTCATACGAGTCCTGGAAGACACAAACAGGTTAACACTCACACGAGTCCCGGAAAACAGGTCAAAGGTCACTCGAGTCCTGGAAGACAGACTATGAAAAGAATCGGATAGACTTGGACTGAGTCCCGGTTCCGATGTCCTCCATGATCCAACTCGGAACCAGAACCAGATCTCTATGCAATCCCAACAGAACCGACATTTACATCAGAACCCATCTGGCCCGATTGTCCTAGTCAGTCCCACAGAACCAGAGCTGGTCGTGTTTCTCACCTTTGACCTTCTGCAGGTGAGCAGTCAGCTCCTGCTCTGATTGGCTGGGAGGCCTGTAGGGTGGGGGCTCTCTGAGGGGGGGCAGGGCTGCCTCAGGTACCTGTGGGAGCAAGAGGGGGGCAGGGAGACATGTGATTGGTCGAGAGGTCCACCTGAGATCCATGCAGGAAGTGAGGTACAGAACAAACAGGAACTTCTGATCCAGCTTCCTGCAGGAGCCGTGTTTCTACACGGCCTGCTGCCGCCCCCTGCTGGCCTCCAGCTGTGTGCGTCTTTCTGAGGCTCGGTCCTTACCAGAGGATCGGTCCGCTTGGCTTTGTGTTTGCTGTAGCTGGAAGCTGTTAGCGACACCGGCTGCAACACAAAAACAAACAGAACCAAGTCAGAAACTGTCACTACAGAACTCTGACTCAGCATAAACAGAACCAGCACTCATCAGAACAGCAGCAAGGGATCTTATTATGTGGCTATTGTTACCATTGCACAATATCTTTAGCATGGTGTTACTGTTAGCATGGTAGCATTAGCATGGTGTGGTTAGCATGGTAACATTAGCAGGATGGGATTACTGTTAGCCTGGTAGCATTAACATGGTGTCGCTAGCAATAAAGTTAGAATGATAGCATTAGCATTGTGTGGTTACTGTTAGCATGGTAGCATTAGCATAATGTGGCTAGCAATAAAGTTAGAATGATAGCATTAGCATTGTGTGGTTACTGTTAGCATGGTAGCATTAACATGGTGTGGCTAGCAATAAAGTTAGAATGATAGCCTTAGCATGGTGTGGTTACTGTTAGCATGGTAGCATTAGCATGCTGTGTTTAGAATTAATATTAATGGGCTGCACATTGGCTATTAGTAGCAGTAGGTTAGGACTGTTAGGACTCACTAAGGTTATGTGTTACCAAGCTAAAATCAATGTTAGCATGCTAACATTGATTAGCATTAGCATGTGGCAGGCTTCCAACTGTTTTATTTTATAACTTTTCCAGATTAAATGTTCATAAATTTCATTTTAATAATTGCATAAACTCCCAACATTTCCAAGTCATTGAATTGCAAATGGCAGCTAAGCCGAGTCCAAAGCAGAAGAATCAATTCATCAGCCTTCAAACATGAATTCATTTTCTGATTTTTGGATAATTTCTGACCCAAACCCGAAAAGTTTTGGTGTGACCCGTTTACCCGCGGCGTCGCCAACAGGCTCTGGACGATGAAGACGACTGGACTCGGAGCAGACTTGATGACGCTCACCGCCTCCTCATGACTCGCCGCTCGCAGGTCCACGCCAGACACCTGAGGAGGAACCAGAGCCAGGACCAGGACTGGAACTAGAACTGGAACCAGGACTGGGACCAGAACCAGAACCAGGACTGGGACCAGAACCAGAACCAGAGCCCTACCTCCAGGATCTTGTCTCCGGTCTTCAGGCAGCGGGTCCGGGCGGCCGGGCTGCCGGCCAGGACCTGCTTGATGAAGATTCCCTTCAGCTCCTCACCGTTCTTCAGACGCTTGATGACATGGCGGCCGCCCACGATGCTGAGGCCCAGAGACTGGCCGTCCTCAGGCCACACCTCCACCCTGAGGGGAACCGGGCCAGACCCGGGTCAGGACAGAGACGGAGAACCCAGTTCAGCAGGTTCTGGTTGTGTGTCCTACCTGCGTGGCGCCCCCCAGTGGCTGAAGGCGGGTGTCTCCTCTCCCTCCCCCTCTTCCCTCTCTGGCAGGTTCCTATGGAAACCAGCTCAGCTGTTAATCTGAAGCTTCCTGGAATCAGCCAATCAGCAGCTGCCATACCTGCGGCCTTGGCTCCGCCTCTTCCTGCTGCCGGCGGTGACAATCCCGACGGACCTGCAGGAGAGGAGAACCTATCATGTTCTGGTTCTGATCGGTGAAACACAGATTGTGAAACATGACCCAGTTCTACTGCAGTGGTTCTGAAACTCCTTCAACATCAAACCGGAGCAGGACCGGAGCAGAACCAGTGACAGGATATTGCTTGGTTTAACCAGCAGGGGGAGCCAGAGGCCAGAGAATCAGCCCAGGAAGAGTCTGACCCGTTCTGTGACCCGGACCGGACCGTCTGAGGAACCACCTCAGCCAGATTTAAAGGTCTGGCTTGTTGAGGTCCGTTTCTGACGCAACAGAACCGGATAATCTGATGCCTTCAGGTGATTCTTAAGATTACTTTGGTTCTTAAAAGGAAGCAAAAATCCTTCAGATTATCCAGTACAAAGGATAATCCCATCAATGCTGTTCTTCTCTCATTTAAACTATTTTACTTGAACAGATTTATGTCAGAATCTTCAGATTATGTTCAGATGAAAACATGATACCAGATAATCTGATGACAATCTGACAATCGCTTTTAGGTTCTGATAAAATAGCATCAGATTTAATCTGATCTGACAATCTAATGACAGTTTGAGGATCTAAAACTAATCTGATGGAAATCTGGAGAACAGATAACTCAGATCAGCTGTTGGTGGAAATTAATCTGAACATCGGTGAGTTCTGGTGTTCCTCAAGGCTCTGTTCTTCTGCCTGATGACATCAACAGTCTGTGGTCCATAATCTAGGTGAGTGGACGGGTCAGAACCGCTGTGCAAGGTTCAGAACCACTGAACTGGGCCCAGAGGTTCTGAGCAACTGGGTTTGAGTTCTGGACTCAGAACAGAGGACTTCCTGTAAAGACAGGAAACGGAAAAGCTGCTTCCCGTCTTCACTTCCAGTCTTTACTGAACTCTGGAGCTGCTGGTCCAGAACCAGTCAAGAACCAGAACCAGAACCAGGAGACACCAGGATCAAAGTGGTTCTGAGAGAGGGACAATCAAGGCGGTACTGACTCGGTGTCGGTGTCGGTCAGAGTGAGATCGGACTCGACCTCGCCGTCCCTGAAGTCGGGCAGACCTGCAGGAAGAGGAAGGAGAGTCAAACCCAAGATGCGGAGCGGAGTTCTAAGAGGTGGAGCGGAGTTCGAAGAGGCGGAGTGGAGTTCTAAGATGCGGAGCGGAGTTCTAAGAGGCGGAGTGGAGTTCTAAGATGCAGAGCGGAGTTCTAAGAGGTGGATTGGAGTTCTAAGAGGTGGAGCGGAGTTCTAAGAGGTGGAGTGGAGTTCTAAGAGGTGGAGCGGAGTTCTAAAACACAGAGTGGAGTTTTAAGAGGCAGAGTGGAGTTCTAAGACGTGAAGCGGAGTTCAAAGAGGCGGAGCGGAGTTGTAAGAGGCGGAGTGGAGTTGTAAGAGGCGGAGTGGAGTTGTAAGAGGCGGAGCGGAGTTTTAAGAGGTGGAGCGGAGTTCTAAAACACAGAGCGGAGTTCGAAGCGGCGGAGTGGAGTTCTAAGATGCGGAGGGGTTCCTCACCCAGGATCAGTTTCCCAACAGATGAGATGCTCTCCAGGTCCGACTTCTGCAGCTCCTCGTCATCCTGAGAGTCTCTCCTCACCTTGAGCTTGAAGCAGAACCTTCCTCAGGTTATAAACACCTCACAAGGTCCAGAACCAGACAGAACCAAACAGAACCAACCTCCTGTGGACCTCCTGCTCGCCCAGCAGACCACAGCTTCCAGTCCTCCCAGGATGGAGGAGGCTTCCTGGGTAGCGAGCTACTCTCCTCTTCATCCTCCTCTTCATCCACAGCCATCTCCAATCCCTCCTCTGCTGGCAAGAGGTCAGAGGTCACAGAGGAGGCATAGCGAGGCAGACCTCCATCCAGGATCAGCTCCGGTTCCTCCTGACAGGAATCATCTGGAAGCTCCAAGTTTTCACTGGGACCCTGAAACAATCAATCGGTTATTAGAGATCAAACTGGACGTGCTGGGCGGTTCTGGTCTCGATCCATCAGAACTAACAGAACCAGAACATCCTCCCAGCAGCCAGATATATTGGAGGTGGTGTGATGATCTGGCATGGAACAAAGATGTTCTGGTCCAGCAGAACCTCCTGAAGGAGAAGATCCAGCCATCAGAACCAGGCCTGAAGCCAGGTTACACTGGGCCAAAACCCTGACCAGCATGTCCCACTCTGATTGACTCAAAGAGGTGTCCTAGTTAAAGTGTGCACCAAGGTGAAGCGACCTGACCTGACCGTTCAGCAGAGCAGAGAGGGTCAAAGGTCATCTAGAGGCATGTTAGCACCAGTTAGAGGGTCAGGCTGGTTCTGAAAACAGAACCATCAGAACCTTTTATCCTGAATCGTTCTCCATTAGCTTCTGTTTGATGTGGTAGATTTAAACGGGTCAGAACCGTAGAACCCGGTTAGGGGGTGAATACTTTTCACAGCTCTTAATAGAACAGCAGAGGGAAGCTCTGGTTCTGGTTCTGACTGGTTCCGATTCTGAGGGAGTGTGAGGACAGAGAAAGTTCTGCTGAACTCCTCTGGACATCAGAACTTGGCGCCGGGCCCGGTCCGGCCCAGAGCGCCTCCTCAGCACATCCTGAGGGATTCTCCTGCTCCCTCCAGGAAATATTAATGGCAACACTTAGGCTAATTCCCCGCCGCCTCGTCCTCAAGGACTCTGCCGCCTCATTTGGACCGGGGAAGCGGGCCCGGCCCGGGAAGCGGGCCCAGTCCAGCCGTAATGGAGGTGAGGAGCAGACGGCGGCTAGCGCTCTGCAGACTGATGACTGCTGGCCTCATCCTGAAGATTTAAAGATGCGGCGTTTAATATCCTCCCATTAGACGATGAGATGATGACGAGCCGGCCCGGCCCGTTTACAGCCAGGAGGGAGACGATGCACACACAGAGGGTCCTGCAGAGGTCGGGATGATTAAAACCGACCCATGTAGGTGCTGGAGGACAGGTCCAAACGGACCCATCAGAACTGCTGGGGGGTCCGGCGGTTCTGATGGGTCCCCCAGTGTTTCCAGGAGAGTCCAGGAAAACGGTTCTGACCCAGAATGGAACAACGTGCTGAAGTGGACCGGGCCGCTTCAGCTGAACTCCATCTGAACCCTGGAACCGGTCCAGAACCAGTCAGACTCTGTCCTGGCTCCGCCCCCTCTCAGAGTAATCAGATTACTGCAGCAGCATTGGCTGGTGCAGGCTCCGCCCCCCTGCGACCTCCAGGAGTTAACGAGGCGCGGCGGCGGAGCGGGGTCCCTCTCTGGTCATCCTGACAACGATCTACAGAGACGGGTCGGAGCCGACCCGCAGAACTTTATGGAGAGACATCAGGGAGCGGTGAGCCGTGAAACGACTTCAGCTGAATGAGGCGCATGTAAAACAGGAAATAAAGAGGAAGAGGAGGAAGACGCCTGGCAGGGACCAGAACAGCTCAGGGTTCTGGTTCTGGTGTTCAGATCAACTTTTCTACACAAAATAACTGAATAAAATGTTGATTTGATCCATTAATAATCTGTGATTTTAAATATATGAACGAGGTCAGAACCAGAACCCGGGTCAGTAAAACGTGTTTGGAAGCCGTCTCTGTTTTTTTATTTTGCACGGCTGAAGGTTTTAATTCTAATCCGATCTTCTGACTAAACTGATGACATTTTCAGTTCTTTTCCGTTTTTAGGACATAAAATCATTTTCTAACAAACTGCATTTATTAAATGTTGCAAACTGAACAATAAGCACTGATGAGATTAATTATGTCTCCCTCTGCTCCCCTCCACATCTGGGAAACGTTCTAATGCTGGTTTGCATCCATAGTTCAGAAAATTCACCTGAGAAAAACCAACGAGACTTTTGGATCATCGACATGAAGCATTGGAAAGTCAGACAATGTTTGTGACTCATGAAACAAGCAGTAAACATCACAACTGATCAAATGCCATCATGTAGATGGTCAATACTCAAATATGTGGATCAACGGTCCAGTCAAAGTAAACTCTGAGCAGGGTGGATTTCCTCTCCTTCACCCAGTGCTTACTGGAAACAGCCAATCAAGGATCTTAGAACTGTCAATCATGCCTGTGCGCTCTGCCAGGCTGCAGCTTCTCCCCCTTAGCAGAGCCTGCCCTGAATGCTAAGCTAGTTAGCATAGCTACTGATGATGGTGTATAAACGGTTTTCCTGCAACAGGAAGTCGTTTCTCCTCCATTAGCACATTTAGCAACACGTACATAAGCTTGATTGAGAGCACTATGTCCCACCTCTCAGCTCTGATTGACTGTTTTTGGTACCTTTCTTCAGATAGCACCTCAGGGTTTCAGCTGGTTGGCAGTTTTCTGGAAGTTTGTTCCAGATCTAGGAGCAAAGAAGCCGAATGAGGCTCCTGGGTCAGGTTCTGGTTCTGGATGTAGAGCAGAACCTGGACCAGGACCAGAACTGTTGATCCATCAGTATTTTAAAGTCGACTTTCCCACTGAAGGTCCTGTCCGCCTCCCTGCTGGCAGAGCGAGGGTACTACAGCGTTTCTGATTAACAAACCGTAGAGAAAAATTTTCATTTTAATTCGTGAAAAATGTTGCTGACCACCATCCAGAGGCTCTGAGGTCAGTGTGTCCTCAGTGGGGACATGTTGTCCCAACCGGCTGTGGCTGGGAAACTGCTCCCCCTGCTGGCGGATGTGGTTCTGCCAGCAGGTTATTACTGTTATTTGCTTTGTGCATCAGGAGCTGAGATGGAGCAGAGGGAAGCAGAACGTTTCTGGAGCAGCAGCAGCAGTACTGCAGTAACAGAGTACTGCAGGACTCTATGTACCGACACGATGGGGGGGGCTGCATGTCCTCACAGCAACCCCCCCGTCCTCCTCCCTCCGGCCGCCTCACTTAAAGAAAGATGCTGCGGGTTGAGCTGATGGAGCACTTTATAGCATCGAGCCATGGCGCTGAGTCAGCAGAGGGAGAGGAAGGTGAAAGAGAGGAGAAGATGAAGGGGGGAGGAAGAGGATGACGAAGTGAAGGGAAGCAGGACGACAGAACAAAGAGCGAGCTCTCAGAGTGATTACTGAGGCTTCAGCTGCTGCTCTCTGGACTGGGAGAGACACTTCCCAGTCTGAGACCCACTGGAACACCCCACTGGGAACTGGGAGCAACCAGCAAACCCCCAGTTAGGACTCCAGGCTGACTTCCTGTTCCAACATGGCCGCAGCAGGAGGCAGCAGCGGTGAAACATGTCGGTCTGACACGAGATGGATGTTAGAGCGCCTGCAGCACGCAGAGCCTCATTATGGAAACGAAAACTTAAAATTACAACTGGTAGCAAATTTTGCTTAATGGAATTTTAAAAATTGGACGATTCTGCAGATTTTTCTCCGTCATAAATATTTAAATAATTCACTTAATCTTTAGAAGAAAGAAATGAACATTTTATTGGCTGAAATGCAGTAACATAATTAGCTGATTAATTGGATGAAGAGCTGATCAATAGATTTTGTCATAATGTGAACCAGGTGAAGCTAAAACTGCCACAAGAGGAATTTGGTAGAACAGGTTTACAGACAAAGAAAGGTTGTTTACTTAAATGTAAAATGTTTACATTTATATGTACAGTTTTGTTTTTGCTCCAACTGTGTAGAGTCTGTGTACTCCAGTTATCAATTCACTGATTTCCAAATTATTTGCAGAAGATTTCAATAATAATTTCAGTTCTACTTAGATTATGTTTGTAAATGATACTGCGGGCCATCTCTGTTCAAATCCCGATTCCTTTAACTCAGTGGTCCCCAACCTTTTTATTACCACGGACCGGTCAA